ATACAGAAAATAAACACTATAATAAAAATAAGAAAAAATAAAAAGAGAATTAAAATGAGTGAGTGTGCCAGCACCTTTTCAACACCGCCATTTTTGCAGATTTTTAATTATTGTTTGGCATTGACAAATGCACTGAAAATTTACAGATATGTATTTTACATAATCAATAACTCATTAAAAAGTTTTCAAAAAATAATAAAAATTTTTAGGCCCCGAAATAAAGTGAAAATAAAAAGTTAAAAGTGAAAAAAAACAAAATAGTGAGTGGGCGAGCACGTTTTGACACCCCTATCTTTGACTATTTTTAGTGTTTTTTAAGCTTAGCAGAATGACTTCAAAATTTATAGGCGTGTAGGTTACATCATAGAGAACTCACAAAAAAACTTCAGAAAAAAACACTTAGTTTTAAGGCCCCGAAACATTTTGTGGCGGGGGGGGGGACCTGGAGGTGTTCGGCCCCCGAACGGGACCCCGAACGCCCGAACGTTCGGGGGCCAGCCCGGGGGCCCCCGAACGTTCGGTCAGGTAACCCTGCTCTACACATTAATTTATAACTTTTTATTATTATTATTATTTTTTCTCACTCTCTCTCCCTCCCCCCTCCCCCCCCCGCTCTCTCTCTCTCTATCTCTTATGGCCGAATCGCATTCATAAACTTTGTTGATCTACATATAAAAAAAAAAAATACATGGGTGGACTGAATTTATAAATGCGACTCTGCCACATACGAGTTGCTTAAACTCACCCTCCAATAATAATAATAATAATAATAATAATAATAATAATAATAATAATAATAAATGATAAATTAATGTGTAGGGCAGGGTTAACTGACCGACCGGTCGGGGGCCCCCGGGCTGGCCCCCAAACGTTCGGGCGTTTGGGGTCCCGTTTCGGGGGCCGAACACCTCCAGGTGTGGCCCCCGCCAAAAACAATTTCGGGGCCTAAAAATAATTTATTTTTTCTGAAGTTTTGTTTGTGAGTTATTTATGATATAACCTACACGCCTATAAATTTTGAAGTTATTCTGCTAAGCCAAAAAAACATTAAAAATCGTCAAAGATGGGGGTGTCAAAACGTGCTCGCCCACTCACTATTTTGTTTTTTTTTTCACTTTTAACTTTTTGTTTTCACTTTATTTTGGGGCCTAAAATATTTTATTATTTTTTGAAAAACTTTTAATGAGTTATTGATTATGTAAACTACATATCTGTAAATTTTCAGGGTGTTTGTCAATGCCAAAAAATAATTAAAAATCGACAAAGATGGCGGTGTCGAAAAGGTGCTGGCACACTCACTCAGTTTAATTCTTTTTTTTTTTCTTATTTTTATGAAATTTTATCATAGTGTTTATTTTCGGTATTTGATTTTTAATTCAAATTTGGTAAAGAATTTGGATGTAGTGACCAGGCAAATGTTGTTTAGTTTATTTTTCTCCATAACATATTGTTTTTCCGGAATTGTTTGAATTTTTTTTTGTTTTGTTTTTTTGGTCCGCGTTCGGCCCGAATGGCCGAACGCCTTCCGAAGGGGTCCCGTACGTTTAGGCGTTCGAGTTCGGGCGTTCGGCCCGTCCCGAATGTCGGAAACCCTGTATGTATATATATATATATATATATATATATATATATATATTGCCCGGGCGGGCAAGTGGACCAAAGTCACTTTGGTAGCCTAGAAAGCAACTGATTAAATTAAAACTCCCTAGTTTCTTTGTCCATTTGATTTAGATTACCTTTCGAGTTAACCACTCATTGATTTGATTTATATCGCTTGATTTTATCTCAATGTAACTCATCCTGACTTGGTCAATTCTATTCGAATTTTGTGGTATTGGTTATAACTTTCGACTTTGTTGATTCCATTTCATATTACCAGAATACTTGCATTAACTTTCAACTATTATTGGTTCCAATATAGTATTGATGAATGAATGTTTGATTGTTATGAATACTATTTATTTTTCAATATGTGTTATTTTTTATTGACTATAGTCAATACAATTTGATATGGTTATAATAAACTTTTGACATTACTATTTTTTTAAGTTATGTTTAAGGAACCAAAATTATCACAATTTCACGTATGGTTGAAACAATCTTAGTGGACCAATGTTAGATTTGTACTTCGGAGATCAACGCTCTAGGGAACAAACAACATTCGGGTTCAATTGACGTTTTGACGACATGTACCTATATTGCAACGAACAAGTAAACGTCCTCGGTTGATCTACCTTTATGATTGCAAGTAAAAACTATCGCACATGGATTGGTAGATCGGTACGGATACACCCTTAAGGGTGGTGACAATCGCTTTGGGGGGGGGCGAATTGTGCCTTATGAGAACCTGTCTTATCACAGGGGACCATGAGAGCTGCAACTGACGGACTTGGTTAGAGCGGTGAAAACCGCGTCCGTTTTCCTTTTCGAACAAACGACGCTGAGTGAATTGTGTGTGGTGTGTGGGAGAGGAGGGTGAGTCTTCAACCAATACGGTTGTGAGTGTGAGCATGAATGAGTTGTACATGATGTGTGAGAGATTGTTGGCCTTAGACACTGATATTACTCGATGGGGGTTGGGGGATGATGAAAAGGGAGGTGCAACTCTCAACAAAATGTTTGGTCTTTGCGTTAGTTGGACCCCCATTGGTACCCCCAACTCAACAACTTTAACCACTAGGGCAAGGGGCAATATGCAATATCCCCTTTATTGTGAGAGGTAGCTATGCATGCAAGGGTCTCCTCTATATAGCCTCAGCAGTAGGCAGGTAGCGAAAGGTAAAAGAATTTGAGAGTAGAATATAGTGTAGTTTTTAACCACCACTTGGCCGTTGGCAAGACCCCAATAGTTTTAGAGACCGGTAACGTAGCAAACTCCGCCGATGAAATTTATCCATAATGGCCATCGTTGGGCCCAACCCTCAAAAAATGCGGTATAGGTCAGGGTTACCAGCCCGCACGTACGGAGGTCCCTAGGCAGACCTCCGTACGTACGGGCGTTCGGGGTCCCGTACGGGGTCCGAACCCGACGGCGTTCGGCCCCCGCGAAAAACTATTTCGGGGCTTAAAAATAATTATTTTTTTCTGTATTTTGTTTTGTGAATTCTCTATGACGTGAGGTACATGTCTGTAAATTTTCAAGTCATTTGTCTAAGCCAAATAAAAATTAAAAATCACCAAAGATGGAAGTGTCAAAACGTGCTCGCCCATATATTTTTTTATTTTTTACTTTTTGTTTTCAGTTTAGTTCAGGGTCTAAAACATTTTATTATTTTTTGGAACTTTTTTAGTGGGTTTTGTATTATGTGAAGTACAAATCTGTAAATTTTCAGGGCATTTAACTATGCCAAAAAAAAAGAAAAATCGCCAAAGATGGCGGTGTCGAAAACATGCTCGGACACTCACTAAATTTAATTCTCTTTTTATTTTTATTTATTTTTATTATTAGTATTTATTTTCCATATTTTATTTTTATTTCAAATTTGGTAAGGAA